ATTGACTGAAGATTAACAAATATAGCACCTATATGAATAAATATATTTTTAAAATTTAAGTCTCTTTAAAATTAATGATTATTTAAAGTAAAAATGATGAAATGATAATTTATTTAATACACCAGAAGTAAACTATTGATAACAATCCAAAGGCAGGGGAGGAATAAATTTAATAAATTGGAAAATCTTTCTTTGTGTGTGTGTGGTGCTGGGGATTGAACCCAGGGCATTGTGCATGAAAGGCAAGCACTCTACCAACTGAGCTATAGCCCCAGCCCTAAATTGGAAAATCTTTAATAATAACTATAATAAGTCTAAATGCTCCAATTAAATGGACAATTGTTAGAGTAGATTAAACAATAAAGTCCAAATCATATATCTTCTGCAAGACACCTCTTAAACACAGATAGGTTAAAAGTAAAATGTAGATGGGTATACTATATTATAGTAGATTGGGTGGGGACCTCCAAAAGAGATTTCAATGTTCAAATCCTAGAACCTTTGAATGTCATCTTATTTGGAGAAAGGGTCTTTGTAGATATAAGTAAGTTGAGAATCTTGAGATGAAAATACCTTGGATTACCATTGTGTACCCAAAACTCAATGACATATGTTTGAAAAGTACGGCAGAAGGAGATTAAATAAAGAAAAGAGAAAGAGGCAATATGACTATAGACAGAAACTGTAGTGATGTAGCCAGAAGCCCAGAAATATACCAGGAGTCAACAAAGTTTGAAGAGGCAAGGGACAGTCGCTCCTGGATCCTGAGGGCTGCAGCCCTGCCAACATCTTCATTTCAGACCAATGATCTCCCAAACAGAATAAGTTTCTGCTGTTTTAGGCCAATAAATTTGTGATCATTTGTAATAGTAGCCCTCAGAAATTAATATACATGCTTATGCAAACCAGAATTAGAATACCCAAAATGTGAATGCATGTCATACCAATAAACTGCACACACTTAAAAATGGTTAAAATGTTACATGTGTTTTACCACAATTAAAACATTTTAAACATAGGAACGGGGGTGGGGGTGGCCAGAGACAGAGAAAAAGGGAGCAGGAACTGGAGTTGCTATATAAATATCACGCAAAATTTTACAACGAAAAAAGTTACTAAGAAACTAGATCATTCCATAATTAGATTAGTAGACGTATTAAGACAACATAACAACCTTGAAGATTACAGAATAAGAGAGCTCCAAAATACATTCAGTTAATTGGTTTTTGATTCAAGGGGACATAGACAAATCTGCAATTACTACAACCCTCTATCAATAACTGGTAAAAGAAGACAGGTAGTAAGTAGACAGAAGTCTTGAAGAGCACTATCACCTAATTTGCCTGAATTGGGTTTGTCAAACACTCTACACAACAGCAGGATATTTTTTTTTCATATGTATGTGGAACAATAGCCATGTGGTCCAAAGAACATTTTGCAAACCAAAGAAGCCAGATCATAAAATATATATATATATTTCAATGGAGAAATAATAGTCTTTTTAAATGAATTAACTTGAAATGGATCAATGAACTAAACAGTACAAATGTAATAGAAAATCTTTATGTCTTTGGGTTAAGCAGAGATTTTATATCACCGAAAGCATAAATCAGTAAATGAAAAGACAAATTGGATTTCATAAAAATTAAAAACTTCTGTACTTCTCATATCCTATAAAGGACTTGTGTTCAAAAAGATTTAAAGATCTCTCACAACTTAGAACAGTCAATTTTTTCAATGTGCAAGACTTGATAGACACTTTCACCAAAGACATGTAAATGAAACCCCCCCCCAAAATACTCAATATCATTATTGTTAGGGAAATGGAAATTAAAACCACAATGAAATAGCACTAGTCATTTCGAGTGTTTAAAACTATGCGTGACCATAGCAAAAGTGCTCTTCAGGATGCTGTTGATGTAAATAAATATGCAAAAAACATATTGCATTATTTAAAGGAGTCTTACCGAAAATTGAAATGGACATAAAAGAGATGGATAAAATGGGAAGCTGGCCAAGTTAATTAAATGAAGTGTTCACACCTGAGTATGAGATAGAATGAGGAGACTCCACTGGAAGGGCATGTAGGACTGGTAAGTGAAAATGAGGAATGCAACGCAATTACAGGGTGGTGATGCAACTACACTGCTTTTTTTTTTTTTTTTTAAGTTAACTCTATTTATTTTTATGTGGTGCTGAGGATTGAACCCAGTGTCTCACATGTGCTAGGCAAGTGCTCTACAACTGAGCTACAACCCCAGCCCCAACTACACTGCTTTTTATATTTTTTCACCTTACAACAATTTATTTTTAATTTGTTCTAATTAGTTACACATGACAGTAGAATGCATTTTGACACAGCATTCATAAATGGCATATAACTCCTTTCTTTTGGTTGTATATGATGTAATTATACAGATTATATAATCATATATGGACATAGGGTAATAATGTCTGACTCATTCTACTATCCTTCCTATCCCCTCCTCTCACTGCCTTCTGCCCAAGCCAAAGTTACTCCATTCTTCCCTACCACACCCGCCACATTATGGATCAGTATCCACTTATCAGAGAAAACATTCGGCCTTTGCTTTTTTGGGTTTGGCTTACTTCGCTTAGCATGATATTCTCCAGCTCCATCCATTTACCTGAAAATGCCATAATTTCATTCTTCTTTAAGGCTGAGTAATGTTCCATTGTGTATATACACCATATTTTCTTTATCCACTCATCTTTTGATATATAAAGAACTCAAAGAAACAAACAACCCAATCAATAAATGGGCAAAGGAACAGAACAGGCACTTCACAGAAGAAATACAATCGATCAACAAATATATGAAAAAATGTTCAGCATCTCTAGCAATTGGAGAAATGCAAATCAAAACTACTCTAAGATTTCATCTCATTCTAGTCAAATGGCAATAATAAGTGTGTTATTAAAGATGTGGGGGAAAAGGTACACTCATACATTGCTGGTGGGACTGAAAATTGGTGTAACCACTTTGGAAAGTAGCGTGGAGATTCCTCAGAAAACTTGGAATGGAACTACCATTTGACCCAGCTGTCGCACTCCTTCGTTTATACCCAAAGAACTGAAAATCAACATAATTCAGTGATATAGCCCCATCAATGTTTATAGCAGTTCAATTCACAATACCTAAAGTATGGAACCAACAATTTTTTTTTTTTAAATCTCACCCTATCTAGCTGTTCTAAGATGGGAATTGTACTTCTGTGTAATGCACAAGACACAATATCCTTATCATTAAATTTGACAGTGTATAAACCATAAAGGAAATTGCAGAGTAGGCTGCAACTTCACCCCACGTAGTAAAACAGGGTTGTGCAGGAACAGCTCTATAATTCCTTACTTGTTAAATCTAACACCTCTCCCTGGGAATGGGCAAAGGGGAAGTCCTGGTAGGACTAACGTTACTGCTTACTGCTCCCTGGCTCAGTAATACTGTTAAATGTCCTTCAAAAGATTTTTGGTTTTGTGTAATATTCAACAAGGAAAACAAAAAAAACTATTTAAACATCAGGAAGTCATTTTCTTGCATGCATAATATTTATTGTGCAATTACTAGTTGGTTATATTTATAAGAAATTAGCACCATTAATGTTTATATGCTGGCCAATTAAATCCTAGAAGTATATATAATTTACCAAAGTAAATAGATTATATATAGTAAAGCTCTGTTGAATGAAGGAAAACAAAACAATGAGAAAGTCAATAAAAATTACAATGTTTGAAAAACACTTAGTACTGACACTTCATTGAGGGAAAAAAAGAGTGGGAAACAAAAATCTCCATCATATTTGAATATACTTTTGAACACATCAATATGTTTAGATCTATCTTAACCAAATTATAAGTTGTGTTAGCTTTGGATCACTGTGACCAAAATATCCAACAAGAACAACTTAGAAGAGGAAAGGTTTATTTGGCTCTCATGGTTTCAGAGGTCTTAGTCTAAAAACAGCCAATTCCATTGCTCTGGGCCCAAGGTGAGGACAAAGATCATGGCAGAATGGTGTGGTAGAGAAGCACTGCTCCATTCATGGCATCCAGAAAGCAGAGAGAGAGAAGGGGTTTCAGGGAAGATGAACCCTTCCAGGGCATATCCCCAGTGACTCACTTCCTTCAGGCCTGCCTCAACTGCCTACAGTTACCACCTAGTGAGTCCATTCAAACTAGGATGCACTGATTAGCTCTCATAGTCTAATCATTTCACCTCTGAACATTACAGCATCAACACAAGAGCTTTTGGAGGACACCTGAGATGCAAACTATAACATAGGCAGACAATTTTAGGCTAGTTAGGATTTACTTACTATTTCAAACAGCTAAAATTTTTATAGTGTCCATGCATGGAAAACTTTGGGGTCCTATCAGACTTCTGGGCCCTGGAGCCACATAGATACAGATGTCAATAACCTAAAGTTTACAAAACAAGTAACTTTCAAACTTAATAACTTTCCAATTTGTAGTATGTAAATGAACAACAAGTTTCTTTTAAAGCAATACTATTCTCTTCCCACTAAAAATCAGTTCAAAGTTAAGGGGTTTTAGTATATATACTGACTGGTTATATTCTTATAATTTCCCTAGAGAAGCTCATTTACCTCTCTGGATGCTTTAGCCAGTGAAGGATACAAATTAGTACATTATCCATACACACACATGTGTGGGAATATTTTATGCTCTTCTCATTTTCTAAGTGAATAGACAGAATCTTTGACTTTCAACATGTGTTTTTGCAAAATGCTTTTGCTTATCAATAAAACAGGTAATAATTGATTCCTTTCCTTTTAGGAATATGACTACATTCAAACTAATATAACACTTTAATAAACATGAGTAACAGTATTATAATCATCTTATGACATATTTATTTGTTATATGCATACAGCTATATTAAATAAAAAACAATGAAGAATTTAATAAACAGCTTAGTTATTTGTAATATACATATTTATTTTTAATACAAAGTCAGATTTTAGAAGTTGTACATAGAAAGCAAAAAGCAATTTACATATTCATGATTAGCTTTAATATTTCTTTATACTGTACACACTGAAAATGTTTATATTTACTGATAAGGAATGCCAAGTGTATCCATCACCATTTGAATAGCTTGCAGAGAATTGGTGATCTCTTCTATACTATCTCTTCTTAAAACCCAATCCGGTTTAAGTCTGTTTTAAAAAATAAAAATAAAAATATGGCATTAAAACAGTACATTTCTTAAAAGTTAATTTCTTAAAAGAGTTAATTTTTATCTTTATGTGTTAACTAATGTGTTAACTAATTCATGACACATCATTTCTCTTACAACCTTTTCAAAGAGGTGGAAGAACTTCATATTATTGCCAATTATCAGTTCTAGAATATTTCCTTATGATACTGGCTTCTTTGAAGCTTATACTACTTATTTTGCTACCATCTTTTGCTCATTGACCATCTCCTAATTACGAACCTGCTCTTGGACTTCCCCCAACTCCTGCTACCATTCTCATTAATATCAACATCCATATGGCTAAAAAACCAACAGCATTCTCAGTTTTTGCAACCCTTTCCTTCCATTCTTTCTTAACCAATCCTTTCTCACATAGTTTACATTCTAGACTTTATCACCACTTCTGATTTATCCATGTTATCTGCTTTAATACAGTCACTGAACCAATTCCTCCACCCTGCTGAGATCTCTAGTTCACTTGACCTCAACACATACCTATTGTTCATTAGAATGTTATTCTCACTTTCCTCCCTAACTAGTTTAGTTATCTCAATATTATTCCATTCTGTTTCTTTCTCCTATCAAACTTGTCTAGAAAATTCTATTTGGGTTCCAAATTAAATAGAAATATCTTCTTTCTCCATTCCTATACAGATATTGCTAAAGAAACTATACATTTTTATTTTATGTCAAATGGGCATTTGAATTGCCTAGTATGCTTCTGCTCTCCCAGATGACTATTTTATTTCTTTCCTCTTTTCAAATATCCCTTCCATACCCTCTAAGCTACTTCTGAGTTGTTGAGTTTAAAATATCACACCACATTGAGAAAACGGTATCAATCAGGGGAGAGCTCATGTATCTTCTCACACAAATCCCTACTATATGCACTTCCATCTTCTTATTCTTTCTTGTTAAAAATCTAAATGCCTCACCATTGGTTAGTGGTCAAAATGCGGTATGTGTCCATACGATGGAAAGGAGTGATAGAAAGGAGTGAAATTTCAATCCATGATCACATTCATTCATCTTTTGGCCTTAAGTGCTATCTACATCCTCAAACCAACAGTACTCCAATTTTTATCTAAAAATTTGTTCTTCTGTTCAACCATAGGCATGATTTTCCAATGGCTTATTTATATTTTCCTCTTATTTATGCTGTAGGTTTCTCAAGCTTATTCAAAACAAAAGCCATGCCATGATGCAACACTCCTGCCCACTCTGTGCTATCCTCTCCTCAACTCACCCTCCAGGACTTAAAAATCACATGATGCTTTCTCGGCCATTCTCTTTATCTTAGTAGTTGTCACTATCTTTATTATTTTACTCATTAATCTGTTTGCTCATTGTCATTCTTCCTGAACCACATAGCTTTACGCTGCACAACCAAATTTAAGCACTTTGTAGTTCAAGATGCAGCTCTATATGATTTCTACTCCCTGATCATGGGGAGTAACCACATAAACAAACACACCTTAAAAAAAAAAAAAAAAAGTAACATAAACTAGGTAAACCACAATTATCTTTATGGGTCTATAACAGGCTAAATGGTGACCCTGAAAGATATATCTATGTCTAGTCACAGAATCTGTGATGTTACATTATTTAGAAAAAAAGAAAACAGGTTTTTGTTCTTTTTTTCTTTTTTTGCAGATATACTTAAGTAAAAGATCTTGATATAAAATCATCCTGGATTGGGCTGGGGTTGTGGCTCAGCGGTAGAGCGCTCGCTTAGCACGTACGAGGCCCTGGGTTCGATCCTCAGCACCACATAAAAATAGAGATTAACATGGAAAATAAAACTGATATAACAAGGTTCTTAGCATTAGGTCTGAACTATTTAACATAAGGAATTTGTTGAATAGCTACTAAATACCCAAAGCTACATCAGTATTATTTCATTATTTAGTGAAATCGATTCCTTTAGATTTACTGAATAGTCTATTCTTTTTCTTTTTTTTTTGGAATAATCTATTCTTATTCATATGTTGTTTCTCTATGGTTAAGAACAATATCTTGCTTATGATAGTGTTAACAAATATTTATTTAAATGAATGAATGGTGACATGAAATTACAGAATACAATTAACTGCTTACCTTGAAACTATTCTGGTCCTTATTGGTGTTTCTGGAATAAAGGGAATGCCTATGGAAGAATTCTTCTTTTGATTATTAAGTATTCTTTCAGCATTTATTTTATGTTTACGAGCTGTAAGTTTGTAGATGCTATAAATGCGGTCAACAACTTTGGGACTACTTCGTACATCCTAAAAAAGAAAGTGTACATTTACTAAAACCTAATAAGAATTCAATCTCTCCTAGAATAACAAAATCAATCATTTGAATACTATGCAGTAGGCTTTTGAGCTTTTAACAATCAAGAGCATGGCTCTCTAAGTATAGTAGGCAAATTATTTTAAATTGTGAAATAATATGTAAGACAATTATAAAGAGGAGAAATATTCAAAAATTGTACATTTAACTTGATACTGAATGCAAAAAGGAACTATACTCAATATAACCTGTCATATCTAGTTACTAAGTCCTATGAATTTTACCTCTTCCAACTTTCTAGAATCATCCACTTACCTCTCATTGACACAACCCTATGTGAAGCACAATCTCTTGTCTAGCCACTACATATCTACATTTGCCTCCTTTAATGGTCTCCCCATATCTATACATGCTCTCCCAAATTTATTCTTCAGTCAGTAGCCAGGGTGATGCTAAAACTTAAATAGGAAAATATTATTCTCTTGCTTAAAATGCTTCAGTGGTTTCCACAGTTATCAGGATAAAAGCAGGGCTCTGGTTACTCTTATGTTAATTGTGATACCTGGAGAGAATAACTCAGATGTCTCGGCACAGAAAAGCTTGAGACATATTTATGGTTATGATAGGTGGATAGAGAATTATACGTATCTTATTTCCTACCCTGCTAAGGTAATTTGTTATACTCTCTAGTAAGTAGGAAATTCTTATTTATATGACTGAAATAAATTCTATTTTCAGAATTCAGTTTCTTTAATATCAAAATGAAACAATGAATATACAAACACACACACACACACACTGATACTAGGCAAAAACAAAACAAAACAACAACAACAAAAAAACACCCAAGTTTGATCACATGCAAAATCCTATTTTAGTGTAATGGTTACTAAAGGAAAAACATAAAATCTATACATAAAAGAACATAGAAAATAAGCTCAAAGAAAAGTAACTGATCAATACTTACAGAGGCTCTGTTTGTTGTCTTCAACAAAACAGCCAACAAACAACAAGTTTTTGTGAAAATGCTTCCACCCTTGTCTGCAACTTTGTCACCAGGCTTTTCTCGGTACATCTGCAAAAGCTCCAACAATGTGTGTATACAGTTTTCTACATCATAAACTGCTGAAGTAGTTTTCTCATACTTGAAGAGAACAGAATGAAATTAAAAGTTTTAATAAGCATACACCTTTAAAACTGCCCAACCGTAAAGACAGCTTAGAGCCAAATCTTTGAAGTATCTGCCACAGGTACAAAGGACTTCATGAGATAATTTTTTGTTACTCCTATCATATTTGAATCTTATATGCATATTAATCTTTTACTTTCCTAACCACTTCAAAAGTTCCACATAAAACAAATTAAAGCTAAAATCTCTAAAAAAGAATATCTTGAAGTAAATAAAAGCAAGCTTCTAAAGAGAAGACCATTTTAGCAAGACTCTCTCATGAAAGAGAACTTATCTGTTACAGTTAGTCATAGGGTAAGATAATGAGTAAGGCAAGATCTAACTACACTATTTTACATCCTTCTTGAGAGGAAGATGTACTTTAGAATAAAACAAATTTGATACTAATAAATCTAGGATTAGTTTTTCATGCTTTATTTAATGATACTATTACATTCATACTGAAATTTGCATGGTTTCAAAAAATAATCATTTTAACATAAAAATAAGAAACCATTAATAGCTAACACTTGCATGGTATGTTTATGTATCAAGAACTTTTAAGTATATTAACTCATTTAATCTTCACAGTAACATTTTGAGATGAGTATTATTTTTTTCTATACCCATTTTACTGTTGAAGAAAGTAAAGCAAAGAGAGGCCAAATAATCTATAACAGCTTGCAGAACTGGGATTCAAATTCAGTAGTTTGGGTCTATGTTCTTAACCACTATTCCTCAATATATTGGGTACACTACAGTCGTGGTTTCGAGGGTGGGCAAGGAAGGTAAATGTCTCATCTTAATACCACTGCTTGTATGCAACTTCTGTAAGCATTATCATTCCTTTTCTATAAAATGAGAAATATATGAGTTACTTTACAGGATTATTATAAGGATTAAATTAAATAATGTACAAAAATACTGGCAAGTTCTCAATAATACTATTATTCATATTATAAAAGTAATAGAAATAAAACAACAAAATAGCATTCATATCTATAGTTATATTCATAAATGAAATATTTTTCCCCATCAAGACTCTTCATATACATGAATTTTAATTTAGAGGCCTAATTTCAAACTTTGTTTTTTTTTTCCTTTTTTGGTGCCATGGATTGAGACCAAGGGTAGTGCTTAACCACTGAGCCAAATCCCCAGCTTTTTTTTTTTTAATATATATTTTGAGACAGTGTCTCACTAGGTTGCTTATAGTCTAAGCTGCTGAGGCTGGCTTAGAACCTGCAATCCTTCTGACTCCTTCCTGAGCTATTGGGATTAGGCATGCAGCACCATTCCCAGCCTAATTTCTAATTTAGAGCATTTCTACTCTACTTCGTAGAGACTCGTCCAGTCCACACTGGATGTGTGTATATGTGGACGTATGTATTTAATCCTGCAGAGTAATACCTTTATTTTACAATTTATATAAATTCTATCAATTCTATCTATCTATTAATCTGCAGAGTTACATTTCTTGAATAATGAATATTTCATTATTAAAATGGAAAACTACCTTAGCTACATTAAGCAAAACTTGTACAGCATATCTGATGACCTCCATACAAGGAACACTACGATTACAACTTCGGATTAAAACAAATATTTTAGAAATTGCTCCACTCTGAGCCATGTTCTCACAACAACGTGGAGATAATCTGGTAACAACCTCTGAAAGAGAAAAAGACACATGTTAATTTCCAGTAACAACAATGCATTCCAATTTTATATATAACTATAATGTACTAAGTAGAAAAATAAATAAACAGAAAGAAGACCAATTGAATACAGAAAGAGGACAGGGGAGGGACTGGGAGAAGAAGAAGTACAAAGGATTGAAATGGAGCAAACTGGCCGGGTGTGGTGGCACATGCCCGTAATCTCAGAGGCTTTAGAGGTGGAAGCAGGATGATTCCCAAGTTCAAAGCCAGCCTCAGTAACTTAGCCAAGCCCTATGCAACTTAGCAAGATCCTGTCTCTAAGTGAAAAAATAAAAATAAAAAACAGACTGGGGATGTGGCTCAGTGGTTGCACACCCCTGGGTTCAATCCCTGGTACCCCTCTGCACCCCCCCAAAAGAAATGGAGCATACAAAGTTATATGCATTTATGTAAAAATGAACCCCACTACAATGCTCCAAGAAAAAATGAAGTCTTAGTTAATACCGTGTAATCACAATGTTCTTTAAATATTCAAAGATAAAAAATGCATTCCTAATCTTATGCAAGATATTGTTATAACAAACTAACCGAGGTGTTTTAGGGCCTCAAGAATGGCAGAAAGGTGCTTATACGTTAAAAGATAATGAAGTGCAAGTGTGGTTCTTTTGTAGAGTTTATCTTCTTCTCTAATCTCCCTATTAACCATCTGAAGACTTAACCGTATAGCTTTAATTTTTGTACAATCATGTTTCTTCCTCCAAGAGTAGCCTCTCCATAATGCCTTAAAGAGATAAAAGAATAATTTTAAGATTACAGCCCGTATTGTTTTGAATTTATATATACATTTATTTCTACAAAATAAATATTTTCAGTAAATTTATATGATATGAACAGATACATTTCAACTAAAACCTCAATTTTGTTTTTATTCCTGTATCAAAAACCATAGAGTTTTCACTTACCTGAAGTTTAGTGATTCTACTATTAAATTTTTCCTGTCTTTTGCGAAGGAGAAAGTGACGTACTGCTTTCTGTATTACTGATGCAGCCCTATTTTTCTGGTTCATACATTCTTGAACTTCATGCTCAATTTTTATGATGCTATAATATTTCTCAATAAATCTCTTTCGTTCTAATTTTGCTCGAAACCATCTCTGTTTAAAATATGAAGATTTTTTCACTTTTAATACAAACATTTTTAAAAGTAGACAAAAACATACATACATTTATATACATATTTTATATATGTTAGCATTCTTCATAGCCATGTGAAGTTTACATGCTCCTTGAATTCTAAAAGCAGAAAATATGAAGATGCTATGAAGTGAAGGGGGAAGCCAAACTGGCTGTCAATGCTAAACTCTAAAGGAGAAAGAAATAGAAGGTCAAACCTCCAGTATCATTTCCCCCTTCTACTTCGTAGAGACTCGTCCAGTCCACACTGGATGTGTGTATATGTGGACGTATGTATTTAATCCTGCAAAGTAATACCTTTATTTTACAATTTATATAAATTCTATCAAACTATATAACATTCTGAAAATTATTTTTTCACTAAATATTTTATTGGTACATGCATGTTAATTACACAAATTAGAACTTTATCCAGAATATAGAATTCCTATAAATCATAATAAAAAAGAACATCAAGTAGAAAAAGGGACAAAGTGCATAAAAAGAAAGATTAGAAAGAGCACATGATACACAGATAAGAACTTGAATAATAAATGTAAAAATTTCAGAATTGCTGGCAATCAAGTAAATGAAAAACAAAATGAGATACCATTTCCAATTCACTGGAATGGCAAAAATCAGGGTGTCTTCTGATGCCACTGTTGTGAAGGATTTAGAGGAACAGGTACCCTCCAACTTTACTAGTGGGAGTATAATAAATGAGTAAAATTACATCAGAGAGTAATTCACAGCTTTATTGCTGTTCCTTAAAGAAGATTTCCAAACTTCCAGTCATTCTAATAGCTATATGCTGAAAGTGTTACATATTATATGATCTTACCATAAGGAATCTGAGAATTGTTCAATATATGTCAAAAATTTCTAAGAGGAAAGTTACATCTCATAGTTTTTCTGTAAAAGACAAGCTGACCTGAATACAAATGGCTGAATTAACCCGTTTGTTAGCATTCTTCATAGACATGTGAACTTTATATGCTCTTTGAATTCTAAGAGCAGACAGGTGATAATATGCAGCTGCTGTGAAGTGAAGAAGCCGAGCTTTGGCTCTCTGTTCTAAAATCTAAAGGAGAAAAAGAATATTAATAATCAAGTGTCTGACTTTTTTGATACACCAATATTTTAACTGAAGAAATTTTTTGAAGTACTATAACAAATGAGTTGATTGCTCAGTTGTATAGCGTGTAGAATATTAAAATATTTTATTTTTTTATTGGTTCTTTTTAGTTATATATAATATTAGCATTCATTTTGACATAATTTAAAAACAGAATATAATTTGCTATAATTCAGATCCCAGTACATCTTTCCTTCCCCCACTTCCTGCCCTGTTCCCTTCCCTCTATTAAAGTGTCTGATTCTTAAGATAGTTTTTTCTCTTATGTAACTATCATGATCCAATGTGATTATAATCCTGTATTTCAAAATATTTAGAATAATTTAACTCATGATTCAGAGTATGTAAGCAAAATTATAGCATTTAATGTAACTAAACTACCCAATAACAGCAATTTAAGACCTTCAATGTATGAATAATGAAAGATATCAATGCTAAAAACCACAAAAGGCTACTGTATTCCAGCAGAATAGTTAGAGATGGTGATGTTAAATCTGATAAAATTATATGAATTAATTGTTCCAGTATTAGTGTAGCACAAGTCCAGTGTAAGATTCTTATAGTATGGCTTTCAACAGTGATCTTGGGGCTTTAGATTTCTAATATATATGAGTTCAAATCAGGCTGTTATGTCTATGCCAGTGCTTTATATATTGGAAGCCAAATGTCATGAGCTCCCTTAACAGAATTCTCTTTTGCTGAAGATGTGGGTGACATCACAGGAATGGTAGTTACAATTCCTTAAGGGCAGCAAAAGGCTACCTGAGTAAAAATTAACATCTTTAACCTATGAAACCTTTCCCTCATACTTCTTTCAGTTTTTTTATTGAGTCATTATACAAGAGAAATTTTATTTTGCATCTCTGGCAATGGGAAGCAGCAGGGTCACAGAACAAAAATCTGTGACACCCAATGCCCTTCTATGTAGCTCTGCAGCAGCTGAATGAACTCAAACTAATAATTATATTAGCTCTGAAAATATTCTCCAAAGACCAAAATGTCTTACCACCACTTAACATCAAATACTTTCATTTCACGTGATTGAAACATTCTACTTAAAAAACTTACTTTTCTCCTTTCTAACCAGCCACGCACTAGTGCTTGTAGAATAACTGTAGACTTTTTTAATTCAAGATATTTTATTCTTTCACATTTCCCAGCCTCCCAGGCTCGTATATGTCTTTGTATGATCAAAACAGCAGATTTCTGCTGAAGAAAGAGCTGTCTTCTTTTATGTCCTCTAAAATGTGCTTGGATCAGACAAGCAGCACGATGTTTCTACAAGGAAAATTTTACAAGTGACATTAATAGATAGAATAATAAGATTTTCAACCTACTAGAGATTCTTGAATTTTTTCAATGTTTGAGGATGTCATATTTCATAGATATGAAAAGGTGATACAGTCTATATAGATCTATAGCCAAAATTGAAGGGACAAGCCAAGATCAATAGATATTTGGTGTTCTCTCCCTCGTACCCTCCTGATTCTTTTCATTGTGAGGAGGAAAAGGAACAAAGTTATTATAGGAAAAATACATTTACTAAAAGAGCTAACTACAATATAAAGAGCAAAGTGGTCATTATAACCAGCCATGAGGGAACTTCTGTGGTTTCAAGAACCACAAAGCATACCACCAGCATACTTTATGTTGCTCAATTACGTAACATTCTGACAATCTAATTTTCATACACACAAAGGATGTGAATTTAAATAATTTTAATTCATTTAAGCTAGGTTTGTTTTATAAACCTCCAGCTATTTGGGCAAGTAAATTTACCTCTCTAAACATTTTCCTCACCTTTAAGTTGAGTAGGATAACAGTAACTATCTTATAAGGTTGTATGAAGATCAAATTTGTTCATATACAAGAGCTTATCCAATGCTTGGCATACTTTAAGTATGACTAGTAAGAGTAATAACAATCATAGTTATATTATTAACCATAGTGAATATTACATGAACACTAAAATTTAAGTCAAATTTTAATTTCTGAATTTTTAACTAAAGCCCAAAGCTATTTTAAAATGCAGATGTTAAACAATTTAAATATATAATCAATAGTGGCTTAAAGAGCATGTTACTAAGTATTTGACTTATACTAGACAAAATATGCTACATTTATTATGATTTCTCCAGATTGGTTATTTTCACTGAAAGCACTTCAAACTTGAGTTTGAAAATAACTTAAAACATACGATATATGCATGCACTATATATATATATATATATATAAAATACTAGTGTCTTTCCAAGTAAAAATAACTTTTACTTGAGTATAAT